AATCCCCTTCAGCACCAGTTATCATGGGAAAACCAAGCCTTTTTTTTCATAGTAATGAAAAAAATGCCACTTGCCCTTATATGGGTGTTTCAGGTTCTCAGATGAAATAAAAGCATTTAGTCTGATATTCTAGGGACTTTTTTCTCCAGCAAAAAAAAAAAAGCAAATTAGAATAAATTAGTTCTAAGTGAAAAAATGTAAGAAGGCAATAACTGTTTTTTAACAAAAGAAAATATTTGCAGTGCATATTCAAAACTGCATTTCTCAAGATATAAAGAATTTGATTTTACTATTAGCTTATTTTAGGTAAATATAATCAATTTGACCATTTTCTGAGTACTTCTACAGATAGTGGAGACATTGATTGTAAAAGGAAAGAAAACCTACGTGTCCCCATCTTCTGTAATAGTTGTGAGTAAATTCTCTTGTTCACAAAGTTCAGGCATCTTTGCTTGCACATCCTCGGCGCTGGAGATAGTGCAATCCTCTACGATGTCCGACAGGCTCTCCACCGTGATGGACGAGGACGTGTAGGCTGAGTCCAGGCGCTCCTCCCCGGTGGAAAACTTGTCCCTCGGCCCGCTGAAATCGCTGCTCGGTTCCCGGGGCTCCTCCGAAGTTAGTATGGAGCTGTAAAACTCAATGCCCGAGTCAATGCGGGTCTCCTCTTGCAGGTCCTCTTTGCCACAACCGTCGCTCGCCATGGTGAACTCTGGTGGCCTCCCTGGGTTTCCCCCGCTACAGCCGCCTTCCTTCCCGGATGATTTACAGTTTTCTGGCGGGTGTTGTAGCCGCTGGCTGCTCGGTGGTGAAACCCGGACAGGCTGCCCCCGCTCCTTTATAAGAACAGAGAAACGAGCCGCTAAGTCTCATTCCACTAACCGATATAAAGTAGCCTACTTCCCCTTGCAGTAACAAACCCTCAAAACTAAGAGACGGTTTGCTTTTGTAAAAACGAAAAGTATTAAACCATGACACGTTACTCTAGGCGCGACGAAAAGGGGTTTAAAAACAAAAAAGCAACAAGAAAAAAAAAAAAAAAAAACAAGCGAAGAGTGGTGAAACGGCTCTGCTGCCGAGTAGATATCCGGTAACAGCGTCAGCTCGAGGCGGACAGCATATGAGCAATGAAAGGCGAGAATTGGAAGAGCTGTTTTTGTCAACCGGGGGAATCCCCAGTGCGCGTGCGGCAAATAAACACTCTGTCTAACGCTCGCGCGCGTGCGCGCACAGATACAGCGAGCAGGCGCGCGCATACATACACGCACGGAACCAAAAGAGCGGAAATGAAAACAAATTTCAAAATTAAAGCTGGGCGAGTTGAAGCTTTCAACTATGAAGGGTATCAAGTAACAGGTGTTTTCAGTAGCAGCTTAGTCTATTTCCTGTCTGTCGCTCTAGGGATCAGATAGAAGAAAACAATAACTAGGCACAGCTACTAAACAAGCAACGGGACATGTGACTTTTGTTTTCAATCAGTTCAAGAGACAGTGGGACCATGTTTTATTGTTCTGAGAAGAGGACTGGTACAAATTGCAACAAGTTACAACTAATTTCAGCTGGATTTACAAGAGGTTTTAGAGTAGCTCTCTAACTTGGAATTTCACAATTTCTTGTTTTAAATTACCCTAATATAGTTTGTTTTTGTGTGTAAATACAACTGACCCCCATCTATTTGCACATTTTCTTGTGGAGCCTAACCAGTGGCCCCTCAGAAAATTTTTAGAACGATGGGACACTACTGACTTGTGTATTTTGACTTTTTTTTTGTGCAAATTAAAATATTTGAAACAAAATGCAACTTGTAAAGGTAGGAGCACTGCTACTTGACACACAATCGGCTGGCATTTGCAAAGCAACCAATTCAGGAGTGCTACTTATTTCTATTAGCTGTAGCTGATGGACAAGAGTGACATGAAGGAAGCCTGTTTAATTGGTGCACTGTGTATAATAATGTACATTGAAGTATATTTGATGTTTGTACTATTAAAATAAGCAGTTATGCACATCTGGCTATTTTATTTTTTGCATCTAAAGAAGGCCTTATTTGCAGATTTTAAAATATGTAGCAATTTAGTTTCTCGATTCAGATGGACATAGGTAAAGATTTTGCTCAAACAACTAAGCTAAAAGAAGCGAAATTGTCGCAAGATAACTTAAGCCTCACCCCATGTTGGCAGTGCGGTTGACCACAAACATATCGTGATCGTTCTATTTTGAGCAGTAAACACGGGCCACCCACTCAGCACCTGGGTGCATTTACTCTCCATTGACAAAATGTGTATAAAACATTAGAAAAATTGTTTCGGTAAATAAAATGATAGTTTTAGCATCCTCTTTCCAACTGCTGCCCTGGGCGCTGCTTATAATTCATATCATGAACTGACCTGCATAACATGAAAGGACGCCAGGGTAGACAAAAAGGGTAGTTTTTTGTTGTTTGTCTACTGAAGAGCTACAGTTTGTAAGCGGGAATAAGTCACTATTTGTTGGTAATGACACTGGAAGAACACATTTTCTTAGGAGAAAACCAGTTTGCTTTTGCTGGTTAATTTTGGTGGCCAAGGTGGTCACTACCCCCGGTGTTCAAATGTTTCAACAAAACTCACTAAATAGAGTAATACACTTCCCAGTGAAGGAACATCTTGAATCATATTCTTAAAATGTGGCAAAGAGTGTAAGAAATATCCTCAATAACCCCGCAGAAAAGACAAATAATGTGAAAACATACTCGCACTTATTCCATGGAAATTGCTGACAAAACTACTTCTGATGATGTTCCTGTTTAGACTAAATACATTTAATTTCTGAAGGTCAGTTTTGATGCAGTGTAATTATAACACCTCTTTTAGGAAATGTGTTTTATTTTTAAAAGCAAAAAGCAGGAAGTAGCCCTTAGCTGTCACTGATTGCTGCAAAGCCACAGATACACTATCCATGAAACGCAAAGTTGTTTTCTACAAAGAGCAAAAACTGAGCATTTTAATGTAAATAAAACATGGTGATATTTACATTTACATTGCAAAGATGCAAATCAACAATGTGGTAATTTTACAATGACTGGTTGTTATTTAACAGGATTGTGGAGTGAAACGTACATCATGTTTCTGTGCAAACCTGCATGGAGAAACGAATCATTTTTTCATGTAAGAGCACTGATATCTGACACCACAAACATTAAGCGAATTGTCGCCCATCTCATCTTGCTTCTTTTCTTTTTTGTTCCTGTGGCTCAACCTTTAAAGGGCCCACTTCCACAGCTGCTGCTCTGCTCTCAGAGGACCAGATTAACTACAAATGCAGTCTATAAAACAATCTGACTGCCGGAAAATGGTAGAGTCACATTTTTATTACTCAGAAGCTGCCAACTGCTTTCATGTCATCCATTGTCATGTTTACTTGCTCCACCTTGTATCAGCTGTCCGGTCCAATGTCCAAACTGTGTGTGTTGCGAAAGAAACAGGGCTGTGTGCCGTGCATAATAGTGGTGAAAGGATATTTATGTAAACAGAAGGAAGAAAATATTTTTTCATATGTGCTTAATCTCCCTATTGTTGTTTTTCTCCTTCTCACACGGCAAAAACAGATTATGGTGTCTCTATTGTCGCGGTATTACATAAAACCAAAAGAAATATGAATTTTGTTCAGCTCAAGCTGCAGTGGTTTTATATGGATAATTCAGTTATTTGTGCAAGCTGTAAAGAATGGGCAGATAATACTTGTTGGCAATGTTTTTAATCAAAATACATAAACATTTTTTAGAATAAGAGTCAAAGTAGTTCTAAGAAACTGACATTTTTTCTGGCACATTTTATGTGAAGTGTACAAACACTAAAATAAATGTGGCTAAGCCTGTTGTCATTTCAAGAGTATAAAATACTATGTTTATGAAAAATAAAGAAACAAGTGTAAGCAACATTCTCACAGTAAAACTACTAGATTATCAACAAATCTGAAGTGGAAAATCTGTTTACACTATGTTACTGTATATGTGTAGCGAAAATTAAAATCGACTGCATTTTAATTTGCAGTGTAACATCAGAACACACTAGCCAATAATGAAATAGATTGTCACTTTATTTATTTTGAGGATTTTCACTCCGTTTATTTTATTTGTGTTTGTTTTCTGTGAGATTTTTCAGCCTCTTCCTTGTTGAAACAGAGAGACTCATACAGCAAAACTTGTGTTTGTGCCCAGCGGAACATCAACATGTGACAGGAGGTAAGTATAATCAAGCCCACAGCTTTTGGATTACAAAACAACGACTCTTCCCACTGAGCCGCAGTCAACCACAGGTAACGTTGAGTTTCATTCTCAGTTTTTCAGCATTTTTCAGCGATAAGAACACCAAAGTTGCATCAATTATCGTTTTTGGCAGCTTACTCTGCATTTTTAACACCATCCTGGAGTTTTAAGATTGTTCAAGTATTTTTGTATTTACATTTTAGCTTTAACCTTTATTTGATTTACAAAAAGCCAGTGAATTGTTGTTCCCAGTAAGCCACCTTTGTGGCAGATCATTTAGATTCTAGATGGTGGATAAGAATGTTTTTAGGGTTTTGAATGCATCACTTGCAAAACTTTACCTGTCAGGCACTGTTTAACCTCTTGCAACTCATTTGCAAATGGATTCATTCAGAATCTTTGTAGAAATCTGCCAAGAGTTGCTGTATTTCGCTTCCTCATGTGACGTCATCAAGCCATACCCGCAAAAGACAATATGTAATTTATTTCTCTTTCAGTGCACCTTTTGAAAACGATGTAACTGGTGATCCTGCTGGAGAAGTCAACATGTCATAAACCAGCTTTGTGTCTTTTTGTCAGCATTTTTTTGTGCAAAAAAAAAAAAAATACTACACAACTAACTAGGTTTAATATTTAAGCCTATAAGGTTGTTATCTCTACTTCGCAGCCAGTGCGTGTCTTCAGTGGTGTGCAGAGGGTGGTTCCCTGTGCAGCAGCGCCTCTCCGCGCTCCTGCGTGTATTATTTACATTGTACTGTCGGGCTGGCTGCTCACACGTGTCCCACCGTCTCGCCTCTTTGTCCTGCATCACACTTTCACTGGCTTCACCGTCAGCATCAGAGAGAAGCTGACTGCATGCCGCGTTTGCCCTTTTCTTGCATTGCTTATCCTGCAGAGGATTGCTCAGCCTTTTGACTGGAACGCTTCCCACCTGAAAGAAAGGAAACATCTCTCCAGCCCTTGTCCACTGGTTCCGGACGGTCTGGGACGGGTTGGATGACGTGCGGAGGGGGTTCTCCGGGTATTTATGTATCGCCCTGCGTTGGAAAAGACCCATCCCACTGGGAGATCCATGCTCCGGCTTTTGTGTCGCTGTCATCATGTCCCCAGCATCGGCTCCAGAGGCCAGTGAGAGCAGCACAACCACGGTCCAAGAGGAGGCAGCGGCCAGTCCCAGGGAGGAGGTAAGAAGCTGTTCGCAGTGTTCAGATCACTCCAGATCAATGGGAGGAATGAATGAATGAAGCCTTTAATCGGTTTGACTGATTTCATTAATAGGGTACCAGGATAGGGCTCTGCAGGCTGATGAAAACAACCTGATTAGGGTTTAATTGGACTCAGTGACTGTACAAAGGACATTGCTGTACATCATCCTGAAGTGGATCCCAACAGGCAGTCTAAGGTGTGAAAAGAAGGAAAACAAAGAAAGGGCTACACAAGAACAAAATATACTCTGGCAGGGAAATATTTGATTCCCTCACTATAAAAACACGCAATTACTCACATGTTTGCATGTAATTAAACTTGTTTTTGATGAATTGGTTGTATTTTTATGAGGTATAATATCACATCTTTCTTGGAGACTGCTGGATAAGTTACACATCCATTACACAAGAGGCTTTTTATGTAACCTAGCTGTTCTTATTATGTCAAGAAAAAGTATCCACGAGTGTGTGACATTTATTTAAAGGCACAATGAAGGGTTTTTTTCACTCAGCAAGACTTGCATTGAAACTGATTTGAACTGAGCGCATAAGGTATCATCTCAAACTCTGGAGGCTTTTGCAGAATATACTGTAAACTGGAGAGACACACGAGAAAATTAAAAATGTAAGTTTTCCATCTATGTCTGTTTCCTTTGAAATTGATTGGAGAATGAACCAAAAATGCAAATTGAAATAATGACATGAAATATATTTTCCTTATAATTTGGATATTTATTAACTATTACAAATATTATTATAATGTCTGGAGAAGCTAGTTACTCACAGGGTGTATTCATAGGAAGTTTAGTGGAAGGAAAAAGTGTGGTAACAAGAAAAAGTCGCAACAGCTAACACACACTGAAGTATGCATGACATGGAATACCAATGTTGGATTTATTGTGTTAATCTACTTCTGAACAAGATACAACATATAAAAGTAAATTTTAGTTGGAAATCAAGATCCCAGAGTCTGGAGGCCGAGTGGAGAGAAACCTAACCCACGGTGCTTGAAATCAAGTGTGAAGTTTAAAGTCAGTGAGGGTTTAAGAATCCATGCCATCTGCTGTTGTTGGTCCCTCTGCGTTTTATCAAATCCAGAGTCAGAAGTCTACCTGGACTTTTTAGAACAGCTCACATGTCCCTCTGCTGAAAAGTGTTAAAGAGATGGTGGTTTGTTTTTCCAGCAGGACTTGGCACCTGCCCACCCTAAATAATGATTTTATCACTGTGGCTGATTAACTAGATAACCAATCTGAGACAAACCTCACAGTGAATCTACTTCTGAACTAAATTTTGGAAATAAACACATTGTTGATGACATTCTGAGATTCAGTCCTACAGACACTTGAATGCAAAGCATCAACAGAATACCAGTATGATGTAAATGTTGATCATGAAGGCAAATGGTCCTGAAATCTGTACTGAGTTTAACCCGTTTAATTCTTTGAGGCATTCTTGTGTAGTAGTTTGGTATTATTTACTAAATGCAGGGATTTTTCTTTTTTATTGCAACAGAAATGTCTGCCCTACAGTGTTTATAGTGCTGAGTCACTTCCTTTCCTTCGCCGCTATCGGCTCTAATGACCAGCTCTTTCAGGCTGTGGATATTTAATTGGCATGTCATTTCTTGCAACTAAAATTTCTGTGTAATATTCCTGTTACATCAGGCCTGATCAATTTCAGCTAGAAAACAATCTGATACTGCACACATGTGCATTTATTTCCAAATTTCTTACTCTTCTGAATAATGTACACATAAACATCATTGCCTTTGTTTCTAAAATGTAACATGAGCCTAAAAGTATGTCATGTTGTATTGATTATTGTCAGCACAGGGTTCTGTTGAGTAAATAGTCTTCCTGCAACTGGTTTATCTCAGTAGGGAGTTTCAGTGTTTATCCCCTTCACCCTGCAGGATGTTGCCTTATAGGTTGGCAAGACACTTGGGGATCATGTGACCAGGGTGGGGAGGATAACTGTGGAGGGAAAAAACATCTATTATTTATGTTTGTCTGTCACTATGAGAGCACAGAACCAATACGTCGGATTTATTATGAAACTATTGCATAAAACACGTAGAGTCCAAAAGTATTAGTCACAACCTGATTTAACAAGTCTAATGTAAATTGTTTTTGCTACAGTCTTTCCTTCCTGAGGCTTTAGAATCTCAGTAGCTCTTCAGATTAGCTGTTAATGCTGCCGTTGGGACCCGCTTTTCTCTGGGGTGATGAATGATGCCATCGGCTTCATCTCCAGGAGTCAAATAAATGTTTGGCTTTATAGTTGAACACTGCCACTGGCACCGCTGGTTACTAACTATTTTACTGCATTGTTATTTTATTGCAGTAACTTAATCTCAAAGTGAAGAATAAATAAAACCCAGTCTTTCTGTTTGAAACAGTCATTTTACAAAATCACACATGCCTTGGAAAATTAATGTAGCTGAAAATTAATGTAGCTGAAGCCTTTTTAAGCCTTTTTAACACTTATAATATTTATATCTGAATAGCTTTTTCTGAAGTATAGGTCAGAGGTGAAATAACAGATGAAGATATCCTACTGTTAGTTACAGTGGATAACTTGTAGCGCTATTTTTCTTGCAATATTCCACATTATAATGGACTATTTAAAATATAAAGACATTTTAAATAAAAATCTGAGTGTCTGGAAGAAAATTTAAAACAGATTTCCGTAGACGTTTTAGCTGGATAATTACATAAAACTTTTATGGGTAAATCAATCCAGGATTGGATGAAAAGGAGCACATTCAACTTTCTTTCTTAGTTATTTCAGTCCTCATAATTAAATTCCAAGAATACGATAGAGCTATTCAGCAGCAAACACTCAAGATGAATTTGGGTTAAACAATAAATATTTATATATTTTTTTTCTTGAACAAAAAAAAGACTGCCAAAACAAAAATGTTAATCTAAATATTAAGTGTTTTTGCACATTGTTCATATCATCTAAGATGGCAAGATTTTGCCCAGTCAACCCATTGCAGATAAAAGCAGGCTTATATGGGACACAATTCATGCTAGAATAACAAAAATAAAACCGTAATGAACTGGTTTTGCTGTTTTTATGAACATTTTCTCCAAGACCTACAAAAAAAATCTGTACAACTGTAGTAGTTGTTTTGATTGTTGTGAAATCTTACTTTTGTGTATGTATGGACTGGTAAGAGATAATTACTGGATTACAACCTTTAATAAAAGTGGTTTCACTGCATCATAGTGTTTACAAAGATATTTAAATTAAACATGATCTAATGTCTTTTATTAAAAAAAAGAAGAAAAAGTTGTTATATCTGCTGCAACTCACAAAATAACATTGATTATTACAGTTATATCTTTTTTTTTTATCATTTATGTATTGCTATTTTGGTATCATGCAAAAACATAGAAAAATACAGTTTACTTCACACATGTCTGCTTACAAATTAAAGCTTTACTAGTAATAACTGTGATGCATGGCATTTCTGCAACATTGCCACGTTTTTTAGCAACCACGCAGTAAAATAAGACATTTCTAGACAAATGTTTCCTTTTTGTGAGCAAGAAAAAAAAGTGTAGTAGCCTTCTCTCAGCAAGCTGACTGGCAGGGCAGATCAGCAGAGAAAATTTTATGGGTTTTGGAACGACAGTCTTCAAAATGTTCTACCGAAAACAACTCCTTGCATACTTTTATGAAAAAACTGAGCCAAGAAACACATAACCTAAAAATGTGACACAGTATCTCAGTTGATTGGACCAGAACAAATGGATAAAAATGCTGAGCAGGACAAACTTGGACAACAGCGTCCCGTACTCTTTACCAAATGAATGTAAACTGATCGAAGTGACAGCTGCTGACAATAAGATTTTAGACTTGTACAGAAATGTTTCCATTGCCAGTGTGTGATTCAGGTAATTGTGTGTTGACTTGCACAGTTCAAAACATCAGGCAGGTTGATACAACTCATGCATAAACTATACGAAAGCACTTATGAAGCAGAGAATTTTTATAAATATTTTAGTTGCATGAGCCACTACCTTTAACTTTTGTACTTACATGTTAGTTCATGTTAAGTCTTGTTATATTTGCTGTATTTAAAAGAAAATTCAAGTTTGATACAATCTTGATGTTTCTTCTTCTTTTATAAACTGACCAAGTGCTTATAAAAACCACACAGCTTATTGGTATTTTTATTTAGCAATGAGTTAATGTCTTTTGGTGTCTGGAAAATGAGCCGTTTCAAAAACTTCCAGAATCTCACTTTACAAATCTGCAGGCACTGCCCATCACCTAGCAACCCCAGCAAAGCCCAGCCGTTCAACTGGCAACCCAAATGGAGGTCCAGGACGTTTGACCAGTTGATTTTACATCTGTATGTACTGTTCAACAGCTGCTATGAAAGAAAAACAAGTGGTTTGTTGTTCACTTACCATCTAGAAGCCACTTTCTGCTGCTCTACTTCTGCTTTTCAAACAGATGTGTATTATTGCGCAACTGTTTGCAGCCATTTTCAAATTGAGCTGGGGGGTGTAGCCAGCAGCAGCTTATTTGAATTTAAAGTGACAAGAGGCTCTAAAACAGCTGATTCTGAAAGGGGCTCAAAATGGAGAGCAAAAAATGTAATGAACATGTTAGACCACAGACCTACCCTAACCTCTTCAATGAAGCGAAACAGATCACCTTTATTACTGCTGCTGACTTCTGTTTGCCCTTCTTTTCTTGCAGCAGCATCCTCAGAAACAGTCTCTGACCAAGTCTTTGTGCCAGGAGTCTCACTGGAAATGCCTACTGCTGTCCTTGTTGATGTATGGATGCGTAGGAGTGATAGCCTGGTGCCAGGTGACCAAGGTCACGCGTCTCTCCTTCGACAACGCCTACAAGGGAAAGTCCATGATGTATCACGACAGTCCCTGCTCCAACGGCTACATCTACATCCCCCTGGCTTTCCTGGTCATGCTCTATGTGGTCTACCTTGTGGAGTGCTGGCATTGCTATGCCAGGAACGACCTGCTGTACAAGGTGGACGTGGACAGCGTGGCCGAGCGCATACAGCGAATGCAGCAGGCTACGCCCTGCATCTGGTGGAAGGCCATCAGCTACCACTATGTCAGGAGGACACGGCAGGTGACGCGTTACCGCAACGGAGACGCATACACCACCACGCAGGTTTACCATGAGAGAGTGAACACACACGTGGCTGAAACAGAGTTTGACTATGGGAACTGTGGCATTAAGGACATCTCGAAGCAGCTGCTAGGTTTGGAGGGATTCCCCATTAGCAGGCTGAGGTTCACGAAGTGTTTTAGCTTTGCCAATGTGGAGTCAGAAAACTCCTACCTGACGCAGCGGGCTCGCTTCTTTACAGAAAACGAGGGCCTGGATGATTACATGGAGGCCCGCGAAGGGATGCACTTAAAGAATGTGGACTTTAAGGAGCACATGATTGCCTTCTCTGACCTGAACCGTCCTCCTTGGTATGCTTCCAACTCTGCTTTCTGGGTGGCAGCTGCGTTCACTCTCTCTTGGCCATTGCGGGTGCTGACAGAGTACCGCACAGCCTGCGTGCACTACCATGTGGAGAAGCTATTCGGCTTTGACTATGTGCCAGCAATGCCATCGGAGGAACGTCCGTATTGCCGACACATCCCACGGGTCAATACCATCGACAGCACGGAGCTAGAGTGGCACATTCGCTCCAACCAGCAGCTGGTGCCCAGCTACTCTGAGGCAGTCCTGATGGATCTAGCCCAGCTTTCTGGGAGCTGCAACAGCTACTCTACAAGTGGGAGGTATGGCAGCTACAGACAGAATTGTGAACGCTGCCACCGCACCATCAGCAGCTCCTCCATCTTCTCCCGCAGTGCCCTGAGCATTTGCAACTCAGCAAGCCCTCGCATCCCCTTCAGCGCCAGTCGATTCTCTCTAGGCCGGCTGTATGGGTCCAGGCGGAGCTGCATGTGGAGGAGCAGCGGGAGCCTGAATGAGCAGTCCTGTCCCACTGAGAGCACTCGCTGTCTGTCAGGTCAGCAGACTAATGAGGAGAACCCTCCGGCCTATCAAGATGCTCTGTGCTTTCCTGTGCTCATTGTGCATCGCAATGAAGGATGTCTCAATCACGACCACCGCTCTTTGCACAGGAATGGCTCCTGTGTGGAGACGTCCCTTTGACTCACAGCTGGCCCAATGTGATGACACAAACTGAGGCTGAGAAACATCTTTAAACCTGGCTTGCGAGGGTTTGTAAATTTACAATGCTGTGTGAGTATTTAAGTACTTACACTTTGTCAGATTTTGGCCACATTACAATCCAAAACTTCAGCACAACATAAGTTAGTCCATGACAGTGAAGTGGAAGGAAAATCGTCCATCCACCATTTTTTTCACAGGCAGAGTAGAGCAAGGACAATCCAGTCCATCTCAGGGCATCATGACAGATTCATGCATACACAGACTCACAGCCATTCTAAGAGCAGTTTGATAATTTAACCTAACTTCCATGTTTTTATACAGAGGGAGGAAGCAGGAGTACCTGAAGAGAACCTAAGGACATGCAAATTATATGCAAAAAGGCACCAGACCTGCAGACAGACAGGTCAGAAAAAACATTGTGGAGAATTTGAATGTAGGATTAGGTCCCAAGCTTTGAACATCACATAAAGCACTCTTCAATTCATCATAAGAGTAGTAACAATACAGCCAAAGCTACATGGAAATTGATTAAATCGTAGCATATTTATGGCCCAAGTCCAATTGAGAAACTATGACAAGACGAGAAGATTTATGTTCGCCAACAGTAACCATTCAGTCTGACTGTGAATGAGCAAAAATGTCAGTCTCTAAATTTGGAAAGCTGGTAGAGAGATATTCCAAAATGACTTAGCTGTAATTACAGCATTCACTTAGGAGGACTGGATCCTTGCACACCACACTTTTCATACTTTATTTGTAGAAACATTTTCTTTAAATAATTTATAATTTTCCTTCTACTTCAAAATTATGCACCAATTTGTCTTGGTCTACAGCAAAAAATTCCAATACAAACACTGAAGTTTGTAATGTAAAAAAATGTGAAGCATTCAAGTAATATGAATACCTCCTCAGCAGTCTGTATGTCTTTACCATAAAATTCACCTACAAGTTATAACAAGATTTGTTCTGAGAAGTTTGGCACAGATAACCATTACAAGGTTTTAATAAACCAAGCCGTCCTCAGCTGTCTATAGAGGGACGACCAACTTGGAAATACTAAGAGAAGTCACACCCTACTTTGAAATGTCACACTGGTGAATGAGTGTCTTGGTAACCTTTCTTCAATTCTGACAAACTTGGAGTTTGATAAGAAGTGAAAAATCTGAAATATTTTACTGATGCACAAGTGAAACAACAAACACACTGAGATATTAATAGAGACAAACACATTGCATGAGTCATGTGACTCACTAGGGAAAATACAGAGATGAATGAGACTCAGCAGTTTCCTTATAAAAAGTACCTCTGATGAGCTCATCAGTCAAGCCTACATAGAAAATCAAAATAAAAGTATGTAGAAAACTCAAATTGTGGACATTAACACAAGGTCAGCACAGATTGAAAAACAAAACAAAACATTGCAGTGTCTGGTAGAGAAAAAGCATATAGTGAATGGAAATCAACATGTTTGCAATGACGTTATACTCCCTTCCATGCCAAATACAGAGGATGAATAATTTAGTGGATGAAGGACATGAGAACTCTAAACAGAATCATCAATTCAAACTATGTCTTCTTTTATTTCACATTTGACAATTCTACTCAGGCTACCTCTTTGTTTAAGTGCCTAACATCAACCATTTCCAAGAAACATATGCTTTCACAATCTGAACCATCTCATCTCAGCCTCTTCCCAATTAAATGACAGAATGACAGAACCACCTTTGGCTTGTCATGGAGGCCTTGGTCTTCTGATGTCATCGTTGTGGAAAATGGCATTTTCCTATAAGTTGGGTCAAACGCTGTTTCTGGTGTTTTTCATAAGATGATAAATAAATCAAAAATGACTTTCAAGATAATGTAACCCAGATTTTGTTCCGTGAGCTCTGTGCTGCTGCTGATGCATATCAGAGAAGCATCCAGAAAGCTTGCCATGTAACTCTAAAAACAGGCCTGGACTTGACACTGTTAGTGACACATTCAATAAGATGACAGGATTACATGAAAACAAGACTTAGATGTACTTCCTTTTACCCCTAAAGGACAACCAGAACATATATGATATAGCATAGACCTGGATAAGTGCAAAATAAGAGAACAGGCCTGTAATTTAAAGATTTCCTTCCTAAATGTAAAATATAATGAATAACAGAGCAATTGCTAAAGATTTTCATCGACATTGAGTGTAAAGGGTGTTGTAGTTTGCCTTTTTTATCTTTCTTCAGTAGCTGTGAGTTGTAATACACAAAAGTAGTAAAACATCAAAAGGATATTTATAGTTTGTCACTAACTTTGGATATAAAGGTTTTTTTTATTCATTTAAATCAGTTTGCTGTCAGTGACACCATCCTTCACATCATGTACTAATCCATGAACGTTACTTGGCTGTGCTCATTCTGTCACTGACTGTATTCCACACGAGGTGTTATATTTGGAACTAGCTTAATAGCAATACCTAAAATACATTAAAAATAATAACTGAGGTTGGATTAAAGATTCTTTCTAACCTCAATTGTATTAATAGCAAGTCCCTATGCAAGTCCCGCCAACCTCAAGATAGTGTGAGACAATAAGTTTGCTGGCAACAACATTCCTGCTGACATTTCTATCTCTTTTCATTGTGATGCGAGTGAGTCGCTGGTGTGTGGATGTTGCCTTTTTCTAGTTCCAAGTTGGAAGAATCAAATCAAGCATCCTCTGAAGTCCAAAATGAAACTCCATAAGTCAAAGGCAGGGTCCAATTTCAATACCCGATATGACTGCCATAAAGATAACAACATTGTGGCTAACAGAGAAACTGTACAAACTCTTCTTGTGAACTTTCTTATTTAGCTCTAGGACATTTATTGGCTTAAATAACAGCTAGTTGTTAGCACTTTTAATGTATTAAGGGTATATTTTTTTATAGGCTCAATCATCGGGAATGCAAAACCCAAATATCCCACAATTAAAGGGTGACAGCATGCCATCTACCTATGTAATAGTTGCAAGTTACCATCTTCAGCTCATGCAAAATAAAAATATCTGACGTAGATTAATCTTATTTTAATTTTCAAAACAAATGTCCAAGTTGTGAAGGGTTGGGCCATGTCTCAGCATGAATTAGGCTAAAACCAATGAAATTTGATGACCACTACATAAATTATCCAATCCCATTTTCTAATTTATTATTAGTCAGCCAAGCCAACCATAATGATTGCGATTTCTGATTATGGTCATTTGCAAAACATAACAATTATTTGAGGAGATTTGTTTACGGGTGCAATGTTTACATTAAATGTGACAACAAAAAAAATCTGCTTGGTGTATAAACCAGCCTGAAAGGCCAATAGCTTTCCTCTGTTAGAATAAAAGATGTTGTCGTGCAAAGCACTAAACCCTTTATTTTGTCTGGCAAGCATATTAGTTTGTAGCAATAGATTGCACTGTTTCTGTCCAGAATGCTTTGGGGCTCATCTTTTTATGTCTGTATAAATTTGTGTATGTAGGGCAGAGAGGCTTTGTACTGTAAATAAGATAGAGTTGAGAATAATGACTGTTCTTGTGGGTCATTTGGTGAATGTTTTGCTCACACAGAAACATTGAGGCCATAGCAGCAGGAAAAACTTTGACATCCAGGTGTTTGATGGTGACAAGCTATTCTATCCTTATTGCAACACAGCTGATACCAACTTCATGTGAACTTTAATTAATCTTCTGAGTAGTTTTTGTTTCCTTTAACCACACTTATAAATCACTTGAATGCATTCTTTTAGCTACACTTGAACACATGCAGCACAGACTTTTCTTTGAGGTATATTTTTTTAACCTTTTTTTTTGGAAGGTAAAAATAATTTGTTTATTTACTGACACAAATCGCACTACTTGATTTACTACCTCTTGAAAATATTGAGTGAAATCATTTTTGTGTATTTCAGTATCACCACAGAGCTGCCTTGCTTACATGAAGACGAAATACCAAATATCTGTTCAAAACTGGATAAAAATTGTAATAAATGAAAGTGCTCACTAAATCTGTTCTGTTTTTATCTGTATTGTAATGAGGTGACTCGATGTTATTTCATATTGCTTTGCTATTATCCTTCCCATCAAGTCTGACAGACAGGTGCCACATCATGACTCTGCCACCACCATGTTTCACTGCAGGGATGCTCTGCAGAGTTAGTTTTCAGGACTTTCTGTTTTTTGAAGATGGCCATATTTTTGTAGTTTTGCCTTTTGCTAGAAACATGTCAAGCAGGATTCATACCTGACTTTTCTGGTGTGTTTGTCGCAAAAGTGCTGCATCCATGATGAGATTAAATTACATACCGTAACTTTAGAGAGGGGCAAAAAATGACAATGCATGCCACATTTTTCAGGCTTTTTATTTTTAAAATATATTGAAAATTATGTATCATTTTTCTTCCACTTAAAAATCATGAGCTTTTTGTTGTTCCAGTTGGAATACATTGAAATTTGCGAGTGTCAAAATGTAATGGTGAGTTAATAGTGGCTTTTTTTCTAAGGTACTATAACCTTTTCTTGTTTATTAAGCCTCATAACAAAGTGTAAAACATTTTCAGATTTTGTTACTTGTTCCTGCACAGTATGATGCCTTTTCATGGTGCTGTGGTGATGTAGCCTCTTTTGCAAAGCTGTAGTTCACTTTTTCCAAGTAACTTTGCCTTAAATTGTCACTAATTTCAATGGTACTGTGAGTACATACTTGCAACAGTGGTTTGTTTGGTCATAAATTTATATGCTAAAAATAATTTTTAACCACAAATTTGCTACATTTTAAAAACATCTAACAAACAGACCTAAAATTCAGAAAGGTAGATAAATCCTTATATTTAAAGGTATGAAATAGTGATAAAAAACACACTTCAATGTGGTTTAAGATACAGATATGGAGTAAGACTCTGTATCTGATAAATGCAAGTTTATATTAAATACAGATGGTACTTCTTCTCCTGTGCAGAGGTCCCCTGTATCTGTCTGCACACTGATTGGTCCAAATCGCCTTGTTAATGGAGGTAGCATTCGTCTCATCCATGTCTGTCTCGCGGATATCACAATCTGTTAGAGTGCTGTTGTGAGCCATTGCCTCTGCCAAAGCTTTACCTCCGACCTGCACAAACACAAGACACAGACGCACACGTTCTGTTGGTGACGTGACAAAGAAATGCAATGCTTGTGACACAACCCAGAATGTAACAGCTTTAAAGACACATTTGACAACCTTGTATAATCACCACTTCCTGCTCACACTTTCAGAACTGCATATTGCTGCTGTCACCAGTGACAAATAGTTGTTTTCTTACACAGAAACACCCATTTCTATTTTTACAAAGATTGAGCCAAGGTCACAGATACTGATGGTATTACATTTCTGCTGTGTGGGTGACTTTTGATCCTCTGCAATGCATTCCAGACAGATACAGTATGCCATGAAATCTTTGAGAGGAGAGAGCGTGAGAGAGATAAAAAGTCAGAAATGTGTCTCATAGGGGAATACTTAACTCTGCTCTCCATTGCTACATGTTTTCCACATGTGTCTATGAATAATTGAAAACCCCTGTACTTCACAACCATTCTGGTTACTTCCAGCAGACATGCCTGTGCAGGCTGCATCAGTCATCAAGTGAAAACAAAGGAAGCTATTTTTCCACACTTTAGCTGCCTAAACCAAGTTCTTAATGATAAAGGTACATGCAGTTCACGTGGAACGTATTCACAGTACTTCACTTTTTCCACATTTTGTTATGTTTCGGCCTTAATATAAATTGTATTTCTACAATCTCTTTCCTCAAAAATACCTCATTATGACCATTTGGGAAAAAATCATCACAATTGCCATTTCTTGGTTTTCTACTCTATAAATTTGCCAAACACTCAAAAACATTTCCACAATTTGTTACTTATATCCGTGGAAAAAGAAAAGCATGGAAAAATATTTGAAATTGCATCCATCCATGTTCCTATAGTTAGAGCCTGAACACCATAAAAATAGCTGGTAAACCTCAGTATTAAGAATTTTAAAATGTGTAAAGAAAAAGCTTTGAGAACTTAAAAATTCTGTGAGAACATTTCTGGCTAAATTTTCACATGAAACATGTAGAATCACAATTCTATAAAATACCTCAATTTGTTGTTTATTTATCAGATATTAATTGAAATAGTGCATCAGAGAAAGATTAGCATGTATGACGTTTCTGCCTGGAATATACCAAAGTACTCCACACCTTTCTGCTAAATTTGTCCTGATTTAGCAAAGCCTTGTGACATGAATATTATGGTTAAATAGAACAAATTTAAAAATTATTTTAACCCCTTTTAAGAGGTACAAGTTTGCTTCAATTCACGAAGGATCAAAATAAAGTACCTTTCAAGAGATAATTAATAACAACTTACATCTCCAAGGAGGTTGCAGGACAGATCAAGGGTCCTCAGTCTTCTATTCTTTAGCAGCACTTTTGACAGCACAATAGCAGTTATGAAGGTCAAATCATTGCCTGCCAGGTTCAGGTATGTCAGAGTTGTGTTTTTCTGCAAGGCCTCGGCAATGGCCTGCCCACCTTCGTCCCTCACCTGGTTCAGACGCAAGTTTAGGTACAGCAGAGAGGAATTGTTTGACAGAACCTCAGCTAATGCTTGGGCTCCCTGGACTTCAATTTCATTGTTGCAAATGTTGAGTTTCTTCAGTTGGCCCTTGGAGAGCAGCTCTGCAACAGACCTGGCACCACCATCTCTGATGATGTTGTGGGATAAGTCAAGCTCTATGAGGGAAGGATGTTCCATAAGACATCTCAGCAGCGGGCGACACTTTTTATCGTCAATTTGACTTTGACGAATCCTCAGAACCTGCAGACACATAATACCATACTATGAGGCTTCAAATTGTCAGCATAACTGCAGATGGAAGAAATGAAAAAGCTAACTAATACTGAGCAACAGCTTTGGAAACCTTACACAAAGAAGTAACTAGAAATCTGAAAAACAGCTGGAAATGTCACAAAATTTGTAAATCTTAATTTTATGCTTTCAGACTGAGCCTAAAGTAAATGTTCTGTTCCAGAAACTTCAAAAAATGTAACCATAAAAGTTGTGTAAATACCAAGAAAGGGGCATGTCAACATGCCATTCACAGATATCTTCACTTTCTTTTTTTTTCTCACTTAAAATGCTTCAGATCATCAAACTAATTTCACAATTAGACAAACAAATTACAGTTTTCATTAAGGGACAAAAAGTAATTTAAGCAAACCTGACTTATGTGAAAAAGCAATTACCCTTAAACATTAAATATGTTGTTACTATCCTTGAAGTCTCAGTCATCTTTGCTAAAGTGAGCATAAATGGCCTGCTTACAGAGCAGAAAGTTCAAGTCCGAAATGTGACATCACCTCTCCACAGGCAAGAATTTTTATTTACTTATTTTGTGTGCCACGCAAGAATACCACAAAAAATGTGTAAATAAAAAAAAAAAAGATTTTTTTTTTTTTACAGATCTGCAAATAAAATAAATTGCAATCTCTTGTGTATAAACTGATGAGAGAAATATATGTTTACCTTCAGAGTCTTGCAGCCCTTAAAAGCTATGGTGAGGGCTCTACAGTCCCTGTCGGTTATTTGGAACATTGCCCATTCAAAGTTCATCCCACATTGTTTGATTCTATACACCAAATAGAGTTCTTCCAGTTCTGTCAGCTCAGCCAACACAGTCCCAAAGTCAAAATGACCAGTTGTCGTATCATCTTCCTCCTCATTAGCAAGCGTTGCTACTTCATTCTGATCATCATCCCTCCCCTTCACAAACTTCCTTGAAGGCAGTAGCAGCTGTGTGATGTGCAACCGCTTGACGTAATTTTTACAGAGAGGAAGCACATCAAGAATAACCTTAAAATCTGTTTCCTCTGGGACGAAAAGTTCGATTAAGTTCTCCAAGTGCCTTTCGAAGAACATGCGTTTCCAGCTGAAGCCATACAGAGAGATGTCACAGATGTTCCACCGCTGCTGGCAACACCGCTTCCAGAACACACCGTCAGGGACCAGGTCGGCAGTCACATGCAGAGGCAGGGAAAGAGACAACTTCGGCTGAATTGCGTCTTTCAGCTCAGGGGTGAGTTTTTCAAATAAATACTTATGATCTGTAACAAGCACACATTTAAGTTTAAGGTTAAAAAGAGGCACAAAAAGCAATTCTAATACAGTGCAGGCTTTATAGTTCAGGTTGCTGTTCTGCTGCAAAGTGAACCTCTGACAAAGATTTAATAGGGTACAGCAAAAATACCTTCAATTTTGTCTGCAATGCATCGTTGACATAGGCTGGACAAACTGGGAACCAAATCCAGGGACCAGTTTGGATCTTCGGCAATTATAATCCTCATTTTTATTTTGTTTTCCACTGGTTTGAATAGTTTCTGGAAAATGACAATGACATGGAACAAATTGAGGGTGTTTTTAACATATATTCAATGTGAATGTTAACAAGCTGATATATATAAAAAACATATCAAAATAATAAAAATAAGCCGAAATTTGTCATATTAAGCCGAAAAGTACGGAGCCCCCAAGGGAACATGGGGATTTTTTTTTTCTTTTGCGTTCCCTCCCAAAAGAAAAAAAAAATCCCCATGTCCCCTCGGGGGCTCCGTAGAAAAGCGTTGTCATTACAAAACACTTTTGTAATGGCAAACAAACAAGAATAGTGTTGTTAATTACGTCTTAATAAAGACCAAAGTGTCCACGTTTTGGATATATATAAAAAAACACTTTCCAATTACATAAAAGCGCTCATCTAAATGAGTTGCTAGACCTTTTAAATGTAGACTAAAAGCTGCTAACTTGAAGACATCTTTTTTAAAATTTCCACTAAAGCAGCTAACGCTAGCCAAACTGCGGCCAGCGGAAAAATAAACTCAAAATAAACACTTTCGACTTTTCAGACTTTAACACTATCATTCTTCCCGTTTAAACGCGAGGCAGCGACTCACTATGCATAAAGATACATTGTACTGATAAATTTATATGAGGCCTTCGGAGCAAACCTGCTGCGTGGCGCTGGTTTCAGGACTAGCCTGTTGCTATGGAAACGAAACGCTTTCAGTTGAGTTTGTGGTTTCAGGAAATTGTAGCTCCTATTGTTTATCTCGAGGGTTTGACATTGTTACGCTGAGTATATGTCAAAAGTTCAAGGGAACTAAGTAAGAGAAAGTCGTACTCGATTTGGGGTTTTGTTCACTGTTCAAACTATTTTCGAAAAATACGTACACTCCCAATTTTAAAGAGCCAGGTCTTATTTATGAGTTCTCAAAAAAATGGCATTCCCGAGATTTATGTAAAAAAAATCTTAAATCGGGAGGAAATGAACCAGTTGTCGTATCTGGGTAAGCGTTCAAATGCTTCCACTTGAATAATCTATAATCGACTGTCAATATATTTTCCGACTGGTTTCTTCATAATAAAGAAAGCCAAAAACATAGGGATGATCCGACAACTAAAATTGTAGAAAGCAGTAATATTTCAGATTATATTCCAGACAGATTAAAATGTGAGAACCTTCATGACGATAAAGCCTCTTTGTGTTTAGTTTATTTATTTGTTTTATCAGGCAGTGTGGAAGAGCAAGGTCATGCTGAGAATCACATTCACATTCTACAAAACAGCCAGATGGTCCTGGGATGCGGATCGCAGGTCTGTTGGAAGAGAAAACACTGGATGGAGTGAATCCATCTGTCCAATAAACAACAACATGAGGTGCCCAGACAGAGTGTAGGAGGAGGAGTGAAGGATCTCCTTATAGGAATTATGACTTGCCTTCACATTGTTTACTTTCTGAGACACCAATGAAAAATGTAAACCCTCATCACCTGAATATTCCCTGAGTGTTTTCTTTGTAAAGTACTTCACAATACCAATATAAATATAAGAGTTTTTAAAACTTTTTTATTAAGATTCTAAGTCATAGACTTAACTTACAGTAGCACAAAACTGTGATAACACATTCCTTCAATTTCTTTTCTATATTGAAATCTGAAAAAAGGTAGAATGCCTTTGTATTTTTTATTAATCTTTGACAACCGTATATAAAATCCATCTCTTCAGATATTTTAATTTGTGACTTATGTCAACAGTCAATACGTTTTTCTAGTTTGTTGACTGACGTGGTCAGAAAATTGAGAAGGAATTGATTTTATAGACCAGTTATAACCATGTTTCCCATATGTGCCATACAGATTGTGTCAGGGGGGGAATAATGGCTATGACAGGCATCAGAAGCTTCCTCCATGAATGACATCAAATCAGCATAAAATGCACCACCTTTTTCTCATCAACCCAGCCCTTTTCTTTCTGTCTGTCCACTTCTCCTCTTTTTTCCCTTTCCTCTCCAACCAGCTATGATTTTTGTTAAATTCCAGTCCAATTTGTTAAATGTGACAACGCATGGGATATTTTAAGTTATCCCATGCGTTGCTTCCTTTTAATTTGTTATGGTATTAGAGCCAGACCATAACAAATTGGACTGGAAGATGAGAGGCTCCAACTGACCTCCCCAGGCAGTCCATCAGTCCTGTGTTTGTGTACTTCGGCCTGACGGACACACGCTGCCCTTGAAGTTCGGCTTTAATGGACTGGCGTGACATCAGCCAATGCAGGAGGCAAATTTACTCCATGAACTGCTGTCCATGTGTACTCTAGGTGGAGCTACTTTGCTTGTGAATGACAAAGCACCACACAGATATCAGTTTGCGTGTCTATTGCTTTGGGATGAAACAACATAATTCAGCTGCAAATATCTACAGTTTCAGATCTGTATAAATCAAATGGCATATTCTTGGAAAGCTTCAGATTACACACACAAGATGGTCATGAGTCCAGAAAGTTCTATTTATTTATTTCATTATTTTTATCTGCTTCAGACAAAGATTACCTCTGTTTATGTAAAAATCAGTTTTTAGCTGATTTTGTGGGAAAATAATAACTTTTCAAATCAGTAAGTTCAAAGTAAAAACGTATATGTCACATAAACCAAGAAACTGATCACAACACATCATAGCGTGTTCACTTTAGTTATCTTTATCTGATAAAATTTGTTCAATGAATGGAAACATTTGACAAAAACAGAGGAAATCAGCTGTTTACCACCTCTGAACTGCCCTCAAATGTCTGGAGAATTACTTTAACACTTGGAGAAACACCGTTGTCTTTCCACAGCACCCTGTGACAACAGTGTGCTTTAAAAATATTGCACCACTTGTCCCATCACACATCCATTTGCTCTCATAACACCAAGAGGTGTTGCATTAGTTCCTAAGCAACGCAGCGTTTAATTTTGGAGACAGAAGGGCTTAACTGAACGACATTTCTTTAGAAATAGAAATATTTTTTGTAGAATTGACACCCACACCCAAAGCTATTGATAAACTTATGTGTGATACTGTTAAATGGGAAACCCACATGTTTGCATTAAAGTAAAAAGGGAAAAAGTGCTGTTAATAGATGCAGTGGTGAGAAAACTTGTTTTCTCCCCATCCTGGGTTTCTCTTTTTTTCTTGCATGTTTTTCACACTTCGGTATTTCAGAACATCAAACCAATTTAAATATTGTAGGTTTGGGTTTTTCTCTTGCTTAAGAATAAATGCCTTCATTTAATAACTCCATTTGCGTTTGACTAATACAACCAGGACACAGTTTTTCACATGACTATCTGAGGTTTTTCAGCAGAAACAAAAGATTTAAAATAAATCCAAGTACCATACATCAGCTCAAAAGTTTACATCCAAGTAAGCTCACTGTATTAAATGTCTAAATTGACTATGTTAAATTAAATATATGAAAGCTTTTTTTATACTGGTTGAAAATTGCGTTTTGGTTCAGCAAAAGCAGAGAAAGCTGAGGTAAAGTAAGGTGCAGCCAGACAGAGTGATTGGTTCTCTCTCTTTCTCTGCTAACACGTCCTTTCAGCACAGCTGGTTTGCAAGGCGAGCGATTCCCAGAAGGCAGAGCAACTCTGGACCAAAACAACAAATGTTTGTCTTTTTTGTCATTCATCATATGCAAATGCAGAATAATCTGTACCAATCAACAAGATTGTTCGGATTTATTTCAGCTCTTATTTGGATTTTAAATTACAGCTTTATATTTTTTTGAAATAATTTTTCATGGTAAAACCTGGCAAAAATATTCAAACCAGTTAAAAGTTCTGATTTTGTCACTTTACAACCACAAAGCTTAACTTCGAGTGACAGGCCAACATACTTATGGAGGAATAAAGAATGATTTTAAATTTGAAGAGTGACATATTTTTCAGAAAGTCTTTTCTAGCCTCAAACATGTTTCTTTCAGTATTTTGTATTTTTGCATCATGTATTTCTCCCATCAAATCTAACCCGCTTACATATGCTAAATTAGTTTTTTTAAAATAATTTCTTAAAAAAAGGGAACTAAATCACATTGAAAGTGGTTGTAATGTGAGAAATTTCAGATAATGTAAAATGACTCAAGGGATTGTATTGCTTTAGCAAATTATTGTACACAAGTGATGCTGAAAAGTGATCATGATTCATCAACCCACACAAAGAACGTCATGCTTCATAATTTGTTTCAGATTTATCGGTAAGTTGCTGTTTTTGACATCTAATAATTAATTATCTTATGCAATATCTTTAAAACATTATTTTTTGAGCTGATGTATGGTACTTGGATTTATTCTAAACACTGATAAATCTTCTCAGGTGGATAAATGATGATACAAAATAGACAATCTGTGGACTAAACATAATATAATCTTGCATAAAATTATGGAAAAATTACTTTTTATCTAATAAAGAATCACTTTATCACATGTTGTAAAATACATTTTAAATAATACATCAGTGTATAAAAAGCTGAAACACAAAAAAGAACATGTGCAGGAATGATAGTGAAAATGCATAGGAAGAAACTTTATTCCTGTCGCTGAAAATTCACAGAAAAACTCAAAATGGCCTCATTACAAAAACAAACTCAAGGAACACTTTGTGGACTCATGATGAGACCGAAACGTTTTGTACAATATCCTAAACCTCCCCAGAACATTCCAGGGAATTCTAAAACTCTACAGAGTCCTGTTCACATTTAAGAAAAAAAACAAAAACAGAAAGGGCTAATCCTCCAACTCGTCAAAACTGTCCTCGGAGTCCAAATGGATGCTGCTGTCCGTCTCCACAGAGACCACCGAGCTGAGACTGCTGTTTATGGACACCATGCTACTGTCACTGGTCCTGCTACTGTCGTCATCGTGGATCACCATCACCTCGGCGATGGCGGCTGCTGGAGAGCACGGAGATAAACACAGCGTGAGTTTGGTCCATTTTTGTGTCTTACAAACGAATATCTAGTTTTATGGGTTATCTTTAGCTTTTTGACTGTGTTCTCAAAAATACCCAGCACAAAAAGTCAGATCACCATGCTCTATAGTACTGCCATCTTGTGTCTGAAATATTTATTTCCTTCCACCAGCATCTCTGCTGTTAATGTACACTGCCTCTTTTACTGCCTTAAAAACGTGCAACCAGATTTGTAACCTACAATTATAATTTTGTCTTTTGCTTAAATATTATTTCCATTCTTTGATTTCAGATGCCCAATTTTTTGGCCCCGTTGGCAAGAAAAACGTTTTCAGGAGGCAGGATGAGGGTTTTAATCTTAAAAACGCTACTAAGTGTCAAGCATGTTGGTGGCAGCATTATGATAGCAGTCTGTGTTGCTGATGGTGATTCTAGTGCATTTCAAAGTGGGTGGAATAACGGAGATTAATGACTACCCTCAAAGTTCTTCGACATTTTGTCAAATCAACAATTAGATGGTTGCAACTTGGACACAACTGGTTGTTTAAAAAGAAGAAAAAAACGATCCATGTGTGATCGATAATATTAACTTTATACTAGGTGTTGCAAAGACTGTTGTGTTCTGGCCAATCACCAATCTTTAAAAAGCTTGACCTGCTGTTCTTGATTTTGGGTAATTCATGTCTTTTTATAACTGAAACGGTTGTCAATGTCTCAATAATACAGAACCAAATTTTTTATTTTAGTCGCTAGGTGCCATTTTGAAATAAAAAAAAAGAGAGAGAAAAAGTCGCTAGAGGTTTCTGAAAATTCACAAATTATAGCAAGTTGGCAACAGTGGGGAGATGATTGCTAATAATCCACTTGGACAATTTTCAGACCTCAGCAGAGGTAGATAAGATCAGTTTCACAAGCAATTATCAGCTGATAACCAAAAATGAAAGAAATTGTTGCACTGTTACTTCCTACAAGTTCCTTGATTTCAAGACAACTAAAACTGTATGGGCTCTGCTTCAAAGTCGTCTATTCCATGAAACATTAACAGCGTTTGTTGCAAGGTTACAACAAAATACTCTTTCAGAAAAGAATGAAAAGAGAATGAACTAAATAAGTTTACTACAAATGACACACTGACATTCATGCCCATCATGAGTGAATGCAACTTTCTGGCTGGAACTGAATTTCATGGCAACAAATATTTTTATTGCACAATGAAAATGTATGAAAATGCGCAGGTGTATGAGTGCCTGTGACTGCAGACGGCCATCAGAACGCACCTCATACCTTTCCTCTCAGTGACGAGGGCCTGCCGCCGGGCCTTCATGTCCAGGCTCAGGTTCTCCACCATGCGGTCGATGCAATTATCCAAAGCAAGACATCGAGTTTGGGACTGGATGGCCTGGCGGCAAATGGGACACTCATCTTTTTTATTGCGCCACTGCTTGATGCAGTAACAGCAGAAACTGTGGGCACAATTCAGGATGACGGCCTGGAACAGGAGTTAGTGGAGATGTTAAATATAAAAAAAACCTATTTAATACATAATTTTTTTAGCCGTTTTGTGTTCGTTGTACTATTTAGTTAATTATTTACTGTTTGGGTCTAACTATTTACTGTTAATTATTAGATCTGATTTGAGGCGCCCCCTAGTGGTTTAATAAAACATTAGAAAGTAGTGATAAACTGGTTATAAGCCAACCTCGATGAAGAGCTCTGAGCAGATGATGCATTGAAGCTCGTTCTCTAGGACTTCAGTAACTTGAGTGACTACCTCTTCTTTCTGTGCTCTCGCCTTTTCTTTTTCCTCCTGCACAGACAAAAAAGATTTTGAAGTTGAAAGTCATGAAGAAAAGAAATATAACATTACAAACTAAAGCTTAAATATACCTTTGTTACTTCTAGCTCTTTGTTTTTAGCCAATATAATTTCTTCAAAGCCTTTTCGAGAGAGGGCGAGTTCATCTATCACTTTTTTTTGCTGTTGAAAATAAATACAATCAAACTGAAGTTACACAGACACACAACATAGTCAAACAGAGCAGAAACCCCCCCTGCTTGTTTTAGTTTGTGAATGATGATTTTGTTATACACAAAATCACTATAAATGGCTTCATATAACAGTTATTAAGAAGCTTTTTTTGAGTTTCTCACCTCTTGTAAGGCCTCTTCAAGCTGCTTTTTCATTAACTCCTCTTGCTGTTGGGTTTTCTGCTCCTGATTAATTAGGAATGCAATTTGATTAATAAAATATTTGAGTTTAACAATGAATATAGTTTCATTGAGAATAAATATGAAATATGGAAGCACTGTGAAGTATGACTACTTTTTCAAAGTTCTGTAAGTGACAGTTATACAGAAATTTTGTCTTTTAAATGCATAAAAGCTTAATATTTTGAATTTATACCAGGTTGTAAGAACAAACAATAACAACAACAACAAAAAACAGTGCACCTCTAACTGCCTCTTTGTTTCACTGAAGGATTTCTCTAACGTCTCCATGCGGTGCATCTTGGCTCTGAGCGCCTCCAGCTGACCCTGCAGCTCCCGGACCTGCTCTCCCCGGAGAGGGTCCGCCTGTCTGGGCTCGCCTTCCAGAGTCTCGACCTGCCTCTGCGTGTCGCTAACCTGCTCCCTCAGGAGCAGGATGTTCTGGCTGTACCTGCAGAGGCAAAAAGATAACATGTCTTTTCCTCTTCTACCTTTTAATTTTAACAGGAAAACCTGTTTGTAAAGAAATTACAAACAGAAAGCAAATGTTGAACACGGTGTCTTCCTTAACACTTAAAATCCCCCCAAAAAACAAGAAATAAGGAGAAACTCCAAACTGTGTTGCTGGCAAAAGAACTGTCTATCTAGCAAGGCTATTATAGTTCACTAAAAATAGCCTTCACAAAATAAAAAAACCTGAAATTCACAAAACATTTTCGTTAACTGAAATGAATAAAAACGCCAATTAATGGCTAAAAACTATAACTAACTGGAAAACTAAAACATACTAAAATTATAATTTTAATATTCATATTTTGTGTTTATGAATCAACTTATTAACGTTTCAAACAAATGTGAAATTATTAGGTTTTCCCTCACACAATAAGTTTACATCGTTGGCACTCTGTAATCCTTCTGGTGGCACTTTACCTAGTCTGCAAAATGGCCACAGCAAAAGTTGGGAGAAAATGTCAGAGTCAAATAGTTAATCAACAACAATTATGCATATTTTTTTGAAAATGGCATCTTCTGTTGCATATTCTTTACCCAATCTGTGTATAAAAGTAAGCAACATTTAGCCAATGATAACTGATAAAAACTAGCAAATGCACACTGAACTCTAAATGAAACTGATATACTCCAACAAATGAAAAACTCTATCTATCCAGATATCTGGATGGATAACCTGATAGTAAGTAAATAAAGCTGAAGCAGAAATAGCTAATCAAAAAATAAAATTAGCAATCCCAGTCAAATATCCCAGACGACCAATTGGAGAAGCTTTTTGCCTTACATTTGCAGGTTGTCGAGGTCCCAGGTAGAACTGGATCCATCGGAAGGATGCAGTGCTCCTTCATGCTCCTTTGTGCTGGTTACTGTCTCCTCTGGCTGTGTGTGACTGAGCTGCCGCCTTGCTTTCACAGGAGACAGAGGACAGGGCTTTGCGAACGATTTATCTGCAGAAGAGCAGCGGTAGAGCTTGTGCTTGGAGGTAGAAGGCTCGACCTCTTCTACGCCCAACTTTCTCTTGAACTTTCTGGGTGTGTGGGCCGCTTTGGTATCTTCTCTATGTTCCTTTACCAAATAAGGCTTAATGTCTTTGAGGGGCCGCTGGATGAGGATGTAGTCAAATTCCACTTTGGTCCCTAATAAAGGAACTCCAAGCTGGATGGAGTCTCCGAGTTGGAGCAGATGGGGTTGCTCAGCAGGTATCCGCTCTCCATTTACCCACACACCGTTGAGACTCTGAAGGAAAGCAACACAGGGTATAAAAGCTGCTGTGGTACATAAAGCGCCAAAGAACATAGTTTACGTTGTTACAAGCAGTAGCAATAAATTTTAGAGTCGTCTCTAACAAGCTATTAAGTTAGGGGTGGAAATTTGAGCTTCAAGAAAGGTGAAAACTGTACACAACTTTTGTCTTCTCGGGATGAGACCTGCCATTAATTATGTTGACTTTTATTTACAGAAAAGAATGTTTAGCTCTTCCATTAGGATTTGTCACCTCATCACTCATTTACATCCTTTAGCTAAAGCCACAGTTTTGTGAAGATGTTATAAAGGATGAATAGAATTTGACTGCAATAGAAGAAGAGAACAGGACAGTGACAACAGTCAACAGGAATTGAAGAAAATTTTTGCATTTAGAACAATGTAATTACATGAGAACCAGTTACTAATTCAGTTTAAACAAAGGGCTGAGATATAAGGGTTAAAAGGCACAAACATGAGGTAATGGCATTAGTATGCAAGTGCTAGAAATTTTCAAAGCATACTGTATAATGATATATATAATGCAAAACAGTGAGAAAAAAATAATGGACTCGGGATCTTGTGGAATTCCAAAGGTTATATAGGGGCAATGATAGAGAACTGGCTAGCACTAACATAAAGCATAAATGCACGTATCAAAACATAAAGACATTATTTTCATTAAGCAACAGTTAGACTTTAACAAAATATGTTTGAGGAGAAAAGAGACAACTAAAGACGTATAGAGCATTTAGCTCAAAAGAAACCTGGTCACCTTCTTGTCTGTCACTGTCCACTGGCCGTCTTCCTTTTGCCTGAAGGAACAGTGCAATCTGGAGATCATAAGAGGGCAGGTTGAAGATAACAGCTGGTGGGTTACCTCTACGCCCCGTCCAACAGTGATCTGCACAGTCAAAAATAAACATGAAACTTAGTCTTCCTCTGCAGCGCTTTACGTTGATATAAAAAATGTGAATTACGCCATACTGAATGCCAAACACACAAATAACACACAATATATAAATATATAGACGTATTTAAAGAGGCAACTAGGACACTCATGTATAAACTTTGAAACTTCACAGTCATTAAGTTTTGCTTCTTTGCTAACATTAGCCAACTGCACCTCTGCGTTTTCGAACAAACGGAGCCAGTCCGAGTTTTTCCCGACTCTCATGAGACATAAAACCTCCGAGTCTGAGCAGTCGTCCTCCTCAGCCGAGCAGCAATCCGTCGTTACGCTGTCCATGTTATCTCATTTCGGTAGGAGGCCACTTCGACCTAAAACACCCTACCAACGTTACAATTCTCTGACATTTCGCTGCTGCAACTGCCTGCTGTGCTAGCGTTAAAGCGCTGCAATGCTACCAGGGAAGCCGGAAACGGTTAGTTTATTTTCAAAATAAAAGCGCCACAGATAAACAATTTTTCATTTCATCTTCTTTTTCTTTATTATCATTTGCAGACAAACAATATATAATTCATCCTCATATTTCAAACACATTTTTTCTTTATGCATACATTAAATATCACTGACTGGTCTTCTAATTCGCGTATTTTCCATTTGAAAAAAATAATTTATTTCAAATGAAAATTCCAAATAATATATAAATAAATAACTAATTGTTTGTTTTATTCATTTTAAATTCTATTATTATCTATTTGATTTCTTTATGTATTTTATGTTAAAAATACAAACAAAAATAATACATAAAGTGGGTTTATTAAAAGCAACTCCACATTTATTTATCTAAGATGAATTAATAACATTATCGCCGGTATAATAATCGACCCTGTAAATGGTGTCAGGTCAATTAAGTTGTTTTGCAAATATTACTATCTTCCTAAAATAATGTCTTGTTTTTAAAAGAGCGATCTTATCAAAAACAAATAAATAAACAAATCCCACCTCTTTTTTCCTTATTCCCCCCCACCCCCCCAAAGATGATGTTAGGGTGAAAGCCTTGGAGGAAAAAAGCTTGTCATTGTTTTAGGATGCAAAATGTGCAGTCTGAAAAAGAAAGGCAGAACAAAAGCGGTCAGGACACCAGGCACTGCAGGCCTCATTTGCCTGATATCTAAAATCCTTAAAACATCTCGTCATAAAACAATTTGAGATATCTGGAATGTAAGGGCGACAAAACCGAATTTATGCCAAATGTTCTTGAATTTAATACACCTTTTATGTGTCCATGTAGCAATTTACTGCAGCAATAGCTAAATATGACTGGAACTTCAACCATGTTATGTGTCGTTATGTAACTGCTGTCCACTCGGGCGACCCCGCATCCCGAAACAGGCGCACCCCGAGCTCCAGGCGGGACTTCCTCTCTCCTGCGGATGCGACATCAGGGCCGAAGCAGGCAGAAAGGGCTTGGTCGGGGTGTCACCGGGTCCCGAACCGCGCGTCTCTCTCCGGACGGCAGATACCCCAGCCGAACTGGACGCCGCCGTCGCCGCAGCTGGAAGCCCCCCGTAGAGGAGCCTCCTCCTCGGCTATGCTGCCCTGAGAACGCCGCGACCGCCCGCCCCGCCAAAATGTCTGATGTCAACAAGACTGTTCAGAAATGGCACGCCAGTTTTAAGAAAGGCGCAGACTTTGACTCGTGGGGGCAATTAGTGGAGGCGATAGATGAGTACCAAATGTAAGTTCAGCATGTGTGTCCTGTCTGTCCCCGGTGGTTTATCCAGCCAGCAGCGCTGCTTCCTTTTATTTTGTTTAGAAATGTTCACAGCTGTGTGTCCAGAAACCTGCAGGGCAGATAACGGGTTCATAAGAAGTTAGGCTGGGAGCTGTCAGTGCGCTCATAGCAGTAAATAAACCGTTCCCATCCATGACGTGATGTGGCATTTGTTGCAGAGGGAGTGGGTTGTGTGTGTGTGTGGGTGTGTGTGTGTGTGTGTGTGTGTGTGTGTGGGTTGCATCCCTACTTCATCCACGGCAGTAGCAGCAGCAGCAGCTCCAGCTGTTTGATGGAGAGTTCGGGTCATGGAAAACCATACAGAGCTGCGCGTTGTGCAGGGCAGAAAGAGACAGAGAGAGAGAAAAGAGCCAATATTCCTCAGAGTATTGAGAAATAGTCAGCCACACCCTCTCATTGTTATGGGTGGGTTTCATATGAGAGGAAAAGCTTTGTCCTTCTCGGAGAAAATCCCGCTCACTGCAAGTTATTTCGGGCTATAACTCTTGTCAAAATGTTCGTTTGCAACAAATGTTTTCGATAATAAAAATAAACATCAAGACCACCTGATAATTCATTTTCTTTATCACCAGGGGGCGCCAGAGTCCCTGCTCGGTCTCGAAAAGTGTAATTTTCCATGTCTGGAAAAACATGAAAAAAAATAAAAATAGTGCAAATTTATTCAATTTTTATTTAAAAAAAAGAGTAAAATATGTATTTCTAAAAACAGTCAGATGTTTGCATAGGTATCTTTTTTTTTTTTTTTTTTGCTATGTTTATAAAAATCATACTCAATAACAATTAATTGTAGTTTACGCCTTCAAGTTGCTTGGAGACCAAAAAGTTAAAGCCGTTTTTTTTTTATATTATTGGATTAGTAGGAATTCAGTTAGTTAGCAAAATTCAAAATAATTTTATACTCAGATCACCATAACAGTCTGGAAAAAAAAACATCTAGGGTCTTTAAAACGATGAGAGTTGATGTCTGATTATTTAAAGTGTTTGATTACATCATCTGTTTGTGTCACTTCATACAGTCTCGCCAGACAACTACAAAAGGAGGTCCAGTCTACGAATTCTTCAGACTTCACAGAGGAGCAGAAGGTAAGTCTTTCATTTTTATCTCCTGCTGCGTCTCCAAATCAGACTCACCTGTTGCAGTCAAGCTAACGAATGTTTGTGTTTCTTTTTTTCAATTTCATTTATAGAAAAACTTAGGAAAGATTGCAACATGCCTAGAGATGAGAAGTGCCAGTTTGCAGGTCTGTACTTCTACTGCTGCTAAAATAATATGCCACTAGTCTGATACAAAATATTGAACAAATGGTACATATGGTTTTGTAGTTTTCAAGTGCTTCATCTGTTCAACATTATATATTGATACTGTACTAACGAGTATCTCACAAGCATAATAAATTCATCACATCGGTTTGTATTGAGACTGGATTTTTATTATAAACAAAATACAATACAATACCTTAAATTGTATTGTGATAAATTTTGAAATTGTTCAGTTCAGCAAAAATATATTGCCATAATGTTGCTGAACTGCACACTTTTGATAAAAGAGATGGATGCTGCAACCAACTGAACATCATTGGCATAACAATTTGAAGTAAAAGACAGAACATTATGTGCTAGCAGATGTTTATAAAATGAAAACACTAACAGGCCTATTGTTTCTGTAATGTTTCTTATTATTATTGTATGGAAGTATTTTTTTATTCCTGATTTCTTCTAAGGAAGCAAAGAATTTATCTTTGCATACTTTATTGCACACGCCTTGAACATTGTCACATTTTTTTATGTTAAAATAATTATCCGCAAAACTGCTCAAGCTTATTGAGCATGGATGAAGCTCATCTGTGAATGTCAATTTTGAAGTCTTGCCAGACACTCTGAATTTGATTTGGATCATTACTTTGACTAGGACAAGTTAGTCAGTGGTGACTAACAAAATCCTCACAGCACGATGCTGCCACCACCCTGCGTTGTTGCTTAGGTTGGGTTAGCAAGTTTCTGCACTGGCACACGTTAGCCATATTCTTGAGAATATTATATAATACTATTGCCTGTTTTTGTCCAGTGCACCCAGTCAAAGGAGGAGTTCAAGTTAGAGGACCTAAAGAAACTGGAGCTCAGTGAGTTACTGAATGTGAATAACCTCTAATTTATAAGAGCGGCTGTTAAAATGTGGCCATCGTTTTCCTTTTCTCAACAGTAATCAAGAACATACTCACCTATAACAAAGAATTTCCCTTCGATGTCCAGCCAGTGCCATTAAGGTGAGTTTCCATCACTGAATGCTTTATTTCACTGAAATAGTTTGGATTTCTTTGTTTTTCGTAAAGATATTTTGTGAAAAGTGTTCAAATGAAAGAAAAGCATGTATTTTCTGATGACCACTCACGGCATTGTCAGCTGGAAAGCAAATATTTATGTTCAGGGTCAGAAAAACTACTGTGTCTACTTTTTATATATGTTTTTATCAAAGTATTATCAAACTTAAGAAAGCTTTTAAAATAGAATTTTATGCATATCTTGGATTATGTTTCTATTTAAAATGATCAGCTTGCATAGTTAGCATTCTATCCATCCAGGTTAAGTTTAGTTAGTGGAGAAGCAGTAATATAGCAGGTTTCTGTGAGGTTTTATGTTGAGAAAAAAATATGTTTTTTTTCCTTGCTCTCTGTTAGGAAAATCCTGGCTCCGGGTGAGGAGGAGAACTTGGAGCTGGAGGCAGAAGACGATGCTGCTGCAGGAGCAGGATCGACAGAAACATTCCCACCAAGAGCTCCCGGTGCGATTTCTCACAGAGAAATTGAACAAACAAAGGAGAAAATAGTAAAGCTAACAATCCTGACAATGCGGACAGTTTTAAACATCCTTAACTGGAATTATTCATGACAACGATGAATCAAAATGCTGACCGTAATAAGAAATGTATCACGATAAATGATAAACGATACAGTGAATGCCCACCCCTACGTTGTTTTTAAATTCACTTTTCTCAAACAGAATATTCTTTTCAGTTCAAAAATACTTTACCAAAGAAAAATAGAATATTGTTGTAACTCATATTGTTTCCAGTAATATTGTGTAAATGTCCTATTAGAATTATTTTAAAATGAAAACTTAAACACAACCTTCAAGCTTCCACAATCACAGCTAGTCGCTCTTTTGTATTTGAAAACCTTTGTGTCACATCTGATGTTACAGGTACTCTGTTGCCGCGGTTACCGTCAGAACCTGGGATGACGCTACTCACACTAAGAATAGAGAAAATTGGGTTGAAGGACGCCGGCCAGTGCATCGACCCATACATGAGCATCAGCGTCAAAGGTGAGGATTCAGCCGCCATCTTCTTTAACTCAAGGAAACCTCTCCAGAAAGTGAACCGTCTTCCAGTCCTGAAAATTATTTTTTGTCTCTGTGTGTGTGTGTGTGTGTGTGTGTGTGTGTGTGTGTGTGTGTGTGTGTGTGTGTGTGTGTGTGTGTGTGTGTGTGTTCTGCCTTCAGATGTGAACGGAGTTGATCTGAACCCAATGCAGGACACTCCTGTGGCCACCAGGAAGGAAGACACGTACATTCACTTCAGCGTGGACGTCGAAATTCAGAGGCATGTAGAGAAATTGCCAAAAGGTAACGACTGTCAGTTTGCTCTCAGCTGATTCAGTGACGGCTCTGTTCTTTTTTTTGGGTTCATCACCTGGCAGCAATGTTGACATAGAAATTCAGAGCCATGACAGTAGAAATCGGTGATATGAAATATTTTGTAAAGAAGTGTGAATTATATCACCAATTTGCACATGATAGCTTCAAATGTAATCATATTTTCACATGTATTGATGTTTATTGATGCTCTTGTGAAACAGTGGAGAAAACACTAAAAGTAAGATTTTTAGTAACAGTAAATAATACTGCCATTTAAAAAAAAAATTACATTAATAATTGGAATTTATCAAGACAAGAGATTTTTCACAATAAATCACAAACGATGCAATAAATGAACAATTTATAAGCATTAATATCTTTAGTGTATCAATCTTCCAGTCCAATCAATTTACTTTGTAGGTCAATTAACAAGGAAAGCTTCTTGTGTTTAATTTAATTTTGTATAAATTCAGCTGTTCTTTGAAAACCTCTGAGGTTGGATGAATGTTTTAACACAATTCATTTAAACCTCTTATATTGATTTTATTGATATGAAGTTGTAACTTCCCGCAGGAGCAGCTATCTTCTTTGAATTCAAACACTACAAGCCCAAAAAGAGGTTCACCAGCACAAAATGCTTCGCCTTCATGGAAATGGACGAGATCAAACCTGGACCGATTGTCATTGAACTGTGAGTTTGGTTTTCTTTTTCACTCGTCATGTTTTTTTATTTTTTCTCTCTAACTTTCCAGAGAGCGATCACAATTTCAACATTTTTCAGGTACAAGAAGCCAACGGACTTTAAGAGGAAGAAACTGCAGCTGCTCACAAAGAAGCCACTTTATCTCCATCTTCATCAGACGCTACACAAGGACAGCTAAGCCCCGTCTCGCCCTTTAATCTCACTGCATATCCAGGGAAACGTGGTGTTCCTCCTCATCGCCACATTCTGCAATACCAAATGAAGGCTGAGGTGTGAAGAAAGTAAATCCGATCTCCTCACACGGACTTTATGAAATTCTTTTTTTCTTCTGTTACAGGGAGTCCCATTAATATACTTTAAACCAGCAGAAACATTTTACAGCAGTTTAAGACGCCTCATGTTCAGTCTTCCACATGTAGCTCTCTGATTTTAATTTTTAATTTTAATTAAAATTTTTTTATGGAGTCACTGCAGGTACTTATGGTTTGTTTTATGTCACAAAACTCTGGACTTTAAAACGCAAAAAAGCCAGCAAAACATTGACTCCCTAATCCAACCACTGTTTTGGGAAAACTTCAATTCTCTTCCGGAATATAGTTTGCTCGATTTAGTTTGTTCTTTGCTGCTGCTGCTGAATATGTCTGGAAAAGGGGTTCAAACAGAGGCATTTAATCAGGATTGATGCCACTGAAACCACAGTACTGGGTTTACAAGAAGTCAGCAACAACAGATGATTGTAAAGCTGTAAGAGTTTAAGCAGATTTGGCACAATTCCCTTAAATAATTAGAGAACAAAAGCTGCCGAAAGTGTGCACAACTGTACTTAACCGACAGGATTTGCTGTAGCATACTAGTGTTGTATAAAACTCCACAATATGTTGGTATTTTTAACTTCTCAAATGGAGACAGAGACCTAAAATTGTAAAACTTCTCATTATACTAACAGTATGATGTGAAAAAGTATTTCTCCCCTTAAAGATTTTCTCAAGCCAAATTTCAAGCAAAGATGAATGAAAACAAAATGCATTTTTTTGAAAAAGAGGCTTTTATTTTATGAAAGGAACAGCACATTTCCAAATGAACTAACCATTGGTAGCAATATTTGGTTAGTAATGTTTGGTGATGAGCAAATTAGCGCTGCTGTGGCTGGAATCCCAAAGAGTTTGACATTATTAACCCTTTTTGGTCAGATGTAAAGGACTTTGTTTCACGTCTGTTCTGGAGTTTATTTAGATCAGGATGTGATTTGTTGTCATTTGAGATCTTTCAGCCTACTTCGTGTTGTTTGACTGGTTCTGTTAAGATGGGTTTCTTTTTTTTTTTTTTGCCTGGATGGGTGTCAGGTTTGGGTGCGGTCAGTAAAATGTAATGAAAATAACTGGTTATAGTCAATTCATGATTTTCTGTTTTGGAATGTTTTCTCCTTTTAATAAATGAAATAATTTTGAAAGCAAAAAAAAGTTCTGTATCTACTCAGGGGGAAAATACTTTCTCACGTTTTTACTGGAAGTAATTCGGAAACAGGATCCACTAACTGTGCCCCAGTGCTTCTCATCCTACAGTTCATTTATGTTTAAGTTCTAAGATGTTTAAAACGTTGAAATCTGCTTCGCAAAAATACCAAACTTTGTCTCCGAGTCCTAAGATTTTTTAAACAAATAACAAAAAAAATAGTTCTTGTTTTGGATAACAAACCCAAACTATTTGTTCAGATTGTACTGGTTCAAAATACTTTATATTTTAAACATACAATGCAATATTTTTTTAGTTAATTTGTAAAGGGAACCGTAAAAACAGTAGGTATTTAAATGATTTGCTTAATTCAGTATTAAAGCTTAACGATGGATTCAGTTCAGTTTTACGTCTGAGAAAGCATAAAGTGTTTTTTTTTTTTTTAAATCCAGTGGTTTTGTTTGTGCAGTTTTACTTAAACATGAAGGCTAAATGAAGCTGTGATTAGATGCATCTCTACATGTGAATGGAGAACAGAATTGTTCGAATATAATCCATTACTTTGTAATGCTATTTAACTTCACTTTCTGTCACATGTACGTGATTAAAATCTGCTTGTAGACTTTATTTTTGTAACATCTCTAAAACGAGGACAAACCAACTGTAAGATAGACTAACTGATGGATTAACTGTAAATGTGCATCGGGAACTGTTTGCAATTATTTTTGATTTATAATAAACTATAACCGAAGCAGTTTGTAACTGGTTGCAATTCTCTGAAAATGTATTTTGCGATCAGTCCTCTTGAACCCAGAAAAGTGCATTTACTTCACTGATTGACAATACAGACAGAGTTTCCATTCTTTATTATTAAATGTTCTAGCCAACATAGTAAAATAAGTTATACATCTGGCCGTCAATTTACACATTTCCTTTATACGGTTTGTAATGAACCAACATGTTTGGGGAAGAAAAAGGGATTCCTGAAATGTTAAAACTAAAACCTCTCTCCTCTTGCTAGTTTTTTTAAAAAAAATAATTTCCACAGGAAACATTAAAAAATATGTCCCTCTAATTCACTTATTTTTAAAAAGATCAACACAACTTGTATTGCACAATAACCTGCAAAGAAAAGTTCTTAACTCATAAATTTCAGACACATAATTTCTGATGATTTTTTTTTAAAGACCTTATATTTTAATAAACATCATTGCAATTTTATATGACAGAAAACTGAAAGCCATCATGACCTAATGTTTGGACTTGATTGGTTATCGTGTTACTACAGCGAAGCTGCGTTCAGCTCCGTTCCTTAGCATTTTAAGGCTAGACCATTCCAGGTCTGACTGAATCTTGAGGAGCCTCCTGCTTCAGGTGCGTGTCCGGAGTGGGGCCGCTGTGGGGGCCCGCTGAGTTCTGGGGGTTACTGGGCAGCCCCTGACCGGGATGTGCAGGAAGGGGCGGGGCTCCAGGCGGCGGCACGCCTGGTGGCAGGTCCATGGGTGGGCTCATGTGGTCTCTCGGTCCTGGGAAGTGCATGTCATGAGGGACAAGTGGACGGGGCCCCAAAGGTCCACGGACACCTGGATGGACAGAACGAAGGAGGAAAAAGTATTAGAAACAGCAGAGAAATGAGAAACATAAAAAAAGTAACATTTTTTACACTTCAGAGTGTCAGTAACTCACTCAATCACCATAATGTTATCACTACAGCATGACAAATCTGTTAAGATAAAATCTTATGGAGAAATCTGCTTCAATAAGCACTTGGGTTGTTTTTGAAATATAAAAGTGTAAAATGTTAATTTTAATCGAAACCAATTTTAAACTAATGGTACCATTAATCAAATTGTTAGCATTTCTAGTATTAACTGTCCATTGTTGCCAGAAAATGATGGCATCCCCTCCTTTAGAAAAAAAGCCAAGTGCTAAAAGCTGAAGTAACATGTAAACCTACCGAGCGGTGGAGGCATCGGTCCAAAATTATGCAGTGGAGGGGGCCGGAAGTGTGGTGGTGGTGGGCCTCTTGAATCAGGGCCCAGTCTTGGTTGGAATAAATGTCCATTGGCAGGTCGAGGGCCAAACTCCCCGCCCATGGGTCCAGGCAGGGGCATACCTGGGTGTCCATTAGCCGGCAGAGGAGGGCCATGGCGTGGGGGGACGTTTGGTAGAAGAGGGCCTGGTGGGAGTGGGTACGGGCCTGGTCTGGGATGCCCGTAGGGGCCGGGTGGAGGGAGACGGACGTTGGGTCCAGGAGGGAGAAAAGGGTCATGTGGTCCCGGGCCTGGAGGAGGCCTTTGGACCATCGATCCGGGCGAGTCTCTGATTGGAGAGGCCATGAAGGATCCAGGTCCCTGTAAACGACGGCCGGAAAAATAAGATCTAATGTGTGCAGTGAGAAACTTCCAGTGAGATCAGACAGAGTAAATCGTTAGTCGTGCAGAAAAGAGATTCACAGTTATATCCACAAACAAGAGGTGCAGTCAGCTGTTGCTCAATCGTCAGGAACCACATACCAACATCCGGATCAATCAGAACCCGTGAAACTTCGAGCGCAATTTGGTGCATCATTCGTGAGTGAAACCACAAACTTAGAAAAAAGAAATCTTTAAATGACCCAAAAAGAAAACCAATTCCTTTATTCTCCTTCCATTCCCAAAGCCAGTCTTAGAGAGGAGAAGGAGGAGTTGGCGTGCTTGCATTCACCTTCACACCAAGCACCTGGACTGAACCTTTATACTCACTGGCTCTGGACTCTCTGTGGAAGCCACAGCCTGACTTTCTGTTTTTATCTGTGGATCTATCACTTCAGTCTGTTTTAGAACAAGGACATTCACAGCTGAAACTTCTTTAGGAGCCTTTTATGTAAAAACAAAGAAATGTAGTTGTTATATCTAAATAATAAATAACTTACAGATCCGTCCGGATTGGTGGGAGAGGAGCTTCTTGGGCCCATCATGTCTGAAAGATGAACAATGGAGTCTCAAGCAGATTTAAAGCAAACACGATCGATGTGACGTTAAAACTTTCAGAACACACACCCATCCCCGGGACGCGTTTGTTTTCAGGGTAGATGCCGTGTGGATCGGATGGAGGTCGAGGGCCTGAATGGAGAAAAACAACAACAAAAAAAGAATGAATAAAGAAGGTGAAGCATTTGCCATGGAACCAGCAAGTTTCACAACATGGAAAAAGGAAAGAAGGTTAGGATCAACGTCTTTCATTTCACATCAAAATCGTCTGCAACACATTTGTGCTGAAATAAAACATTTTTCCAGACCTGAATTTCCAGATGAATGAACAAACTGATGGATGGATAGAGAACAAGATCAATGGTGAGATGGATTTATTTACAAATGGATGGTTGGATATATTCTTCCCTCCAGGAAGTTGGAACTATTAAAACAAAATCACTCATCGGTCACAAATCTGACCAATCATCTTAACATTTTCTGTATTTCTGACCAATGACTGTAACTCTGAGATATTTTGACTAATGCCAGTGCATCATGTTAAGCTTGTTAACAAGAATACTAATATTGTTATCAATTTCACAACCCTTGCTAGTTAATGGCAGAAATAAACCCAATCCTCTTTCATTTCTGAACAAAAGTTGTGCTCACTGTTGCTTCCCACATTTTTAAAAGAAATCTTTGTCAAAAAAAAAAAAAGTCAGAACCGCAACATTTTGTAAAAAAAAAAAAAAATCTGTAAATTTAGGATGTAATAACATAAGAAAAAAATCTTGCAACGTCCTAGAGGGACTGTTATACAAATGGATAACCAAATGGATGGGCAGACTGCAAAGAGGGAGGAGAAAAAGAGATGAATAAAAACATTTAAGACAACAAGATAGAAAACAGTTTGGAATAACTGACATTATTCAAATCTTTGTCACCTTGAAAATCCTTAAATTTCAGGCTTTATCACACCAGATAGGAACCATAAAAAACACTTTGTTACAGGGAAATTTTCTGACGGTTTAACCAAAATTAATAAAAATAAAAGGCAGGCACCAGGAAGGAAATAAGTGCAGGATGCAACGCAAACAAGAAGGAAAGTAAAGTAACAAGGTGAAAGCTGAAAAGAAAAAAGGAAAGTGTGAAAAGGGAGAGAAGGAAGTTGTTGTGAAGAGATGAAGTCCAGCTTTGGTGCAAATTAAAGTAGGTGAAGAGATCCACTTGGACTCACCATACGGGTCAATTCTTCGCCCTACGGGGGCAGAAGGAGGGCGCCTCGGACCCTCGATCATTATTGGAGGGGACGGAGCACCCCCACTCACAGGAGAGGGTCCATATGAATCACCTGTTATGATCAAACCATCAGCTTACTGGAAGAAGAGAAACTGCTGACAATACACCACAAAAAGTGTTGATATTCCAGGAACTCCCAGACAACATGGAGTCCACTTATTCAGACAAACAAAAAAGAGCGACAGGAAATGGCATCCTCTCCGTTTGTTTCTGTGGAATAAAAGTGTTGTGGAGAAAGAACAACAGAAAGGTTGGATGTACCTTGACGAGGACCTGGAGGCTGACCGGAGTTGGGCCTGAACAGGGGCGCACGGCGCTCATTAAGCTGCGATGTAAGTACGGCTAATCTGTCAAATTAGATAAGAAATTATCAACTGCAGGTTGGATTAACATAATTGTTTCAAACTAATTTATCTTATGGAAGAAGAACAAAAAATACAAGTGTAAACCAAATTAACTTGACAATCTTAACTCCTCACTCATTGATTTTTCCAGCTTTCTGCCTACAAACCAGATCAAATTCAGTTTATTCCCAATAACTGAAGTCAATTCATTCAATACTCACTTTTCACGCAGCTTTGAGGATTCTACCTTTTCTTGACTTAGCGCTCGCTCAGCGTTGCGAGCATTCACCTGCAGACAACACTGAGAATTGCTATGGAACCAAATTACAATGAATCGCTTTTTACAAACTAACAATCTAGAATGCATGGCAAAAGTTTTAACACATTTTTTTTTACATATTTTCTGGTATAACACAATCTTTTAATGTGAAGCTTGGCCTTGCATAGCTAACTGTTAAACATGGTAAATAAATACAATCCTTCACAAAACCACAGAATTAAAAACAGGGTGAGTATTTCACAATAAACCAAAGAGATGCTTAATAACAATGTGACTCTCTAAAATGTTTTAGTTGTAAGCTGACAAAATGTGGAAGTTTAAGAAGTATGAAAACTTTTCTGGTTTTCTCTAATTTCACTCTGAATAAGTTTGTGAATTCTCTGCAACTTACCCAGTTGGAATGAGTTTTGTTTTCCTGCTCTTTTATCTAAAAACAATATAACAAAATAAAACATGGTTTATTAATAATCATGTTCTGACTTCTTTTTTCACACATTACTTTCATTACACATTAACAACTACCTGCTCTTTATAGACCTCCTCCGTCTTCTTCATCTGCTCCTCCATCTCATTAATGCGCTGCCTTAAAAGCTTCACCTGCTCCTCGGCTTCCACAGCTTTCCCTCCCACCTCAGACAGCAGGTTTTCTTTGCTGCGCCGCTCCAGCTCCTCCTTTGTCAACCTCCTGTGTAGCAACAGATTCACGGTCCCATCAGCAAACTAGAACTGCTTCCGGAGACGTGACTGCTGCAGGTTTTACTTACTGCTGCAAAGCATTTTCCTTCTGCTGATACATTTCAACCATGATTTCATTTTTCTGCTGCAGGATCTTGTACTGGTTTTCAATGTGACTCTTCTCACTTTTGAGGGCTCCGATTGAATGTTC